ATCCGTTGCTAGGCAACCCGATAAACACGTGCTCAAATATCATGCCCGCAAGTTAAGGTGTCATGCCAGGGCGCATTCGGGCGCATTGTCCGTTACCCACTTGTCAATCTCAGGGCGCATACAGGCGCATTGGGCGTTAATGAGTTAAAGAAGGGAAAATCAGCTTTAGCAGAACATGTGTCATGTGTGTGACACCAAACATAATATTGCAGAAAATTCTAAAATAATTACCACAAACGATCACTATGGTCAAAACTGCCTAGAAGCATGGCATATAAATATGGGTAATCATGCTTTGAATAGGGATGACGGTGCCTATTTGCCAGAGGAATACACTGTGTTCAAGGTGGGTATTTAGGAAGCCACGTTTGCAACTTTAGATCACCCCTGATGAAGACACTAGACTGGAGTGTTGAAATGTTGGGTCTTGATTACAATGGGTCTTCAATTCGACTGGGACTGTTATTTATTTAAACCAGAGTAGCGAGTGAAAACACGAATTACATTTTTATCACTCAAAAATAGAACACATAAGTTACAATTTTCCAAACACGACAAACAGAGTCCTCTATCACCCTGCCTATGGACAAATTTTATTTTACCATACCCCAGCCAGGGTCTTCTCCACAAGAGGGAAGAGCCTAGGAATGAGTTTACGACTTTAGATAAGAAAAATCGAATCTCTGTCACCCTTTACACATCGGCCATGCTGCACAATAAACACAGGGATGGAATACTTTCCTGTCTTGACATATTGTTGTTAAGTGATCTGTGATTTCCCATATATATTTGACTGTTTTGAGAATGTCTGTCATCATTATGAAGTGCTTGTTTAGTAGCACTTTGTTTGTGGATGAATTATGTAAAGTGGTGTTATTGCCATGAGTATTGATATCATGGATGATAGAAGTTACAGAGTCGTGCATCTACAATGTAAACCGCTTGGGAAGTTGTTTTCTCCTTTGTAGTAGTTTCCTCTTATTGTTCAAATTTGATTTGTTTGTGCCTGCATTTAAATCAGTGTCTGGCTCCCTTAATTTGTGTAATGTCTCATCTGTTATGTAAACAGCTTGGGGAGTTGTTTTTTCCTTTGTAGTAGATTCTTTATTGTTCAGATTTGATTTGTTTGTGCTTGCATTTAAATCCCTGTGTCCTGTTCACTAATCTGTATGATATGTTAATTGCCTGTGCAGCACTTTCAGTATTGTTTCAATGAACTCTAGACAACACAGTAGGGGTATATTCAACAAAAGAGATGAGCTTCTTCTTGCTTGCAGCTGATGGCTTCCATAGTTTGTTGCTCAACGTTAAACAATTTTAAATCAGAAATCATCATTGTCAAACAGCTTTAATTTATCTAATGAACCAAACCATCGATATACGATACGGCTCCATTAACTGACAAATACAAAGCTACTCGACGTAACATGCTGAAATTCTGCTTATTTTTTCCAGGTGTAGTTGTACTTTATGTAAAGATTTTTGTGAAATGATGAAAAATGCCAATGATTCCTTTGTGCATGTCTTAGCTAACATGAGCCAGTCCATGTTATCTATAAGCATATGCATTGCTATTGCTAGATCTATGTAAGCTTTTGGCAACTCATCATGACTTGCACCTTACTACAGCTTGCAAAATCAAGTTACTCAACAATAAGGTAAAAAGTATTTTCAACTGCAGCCAGCCAACATCAGGATTTTACCAACAAAATCAGTGAACAAACTTTTTTATATGTACATTTTCTGTTTGGGGAAACATTATAAACAACTAATTTTGTGTTGCTACTAATCCATGCATACTATTAACATTATAAATATTTAGTCAGGGACAGTACAAAAAGTGCAAATACACTGACACTGTTAAAAAAAAACACAAAATATGAACGGACAGACCCAATTGAAAACATTGATATTTCTTAAAAAAGGTTAAATAGGTACGAGTACTGTGGGTGTGCATTTTAACAATAACTTTATTGAAATGAAATAATTGATTTCAGAAATTGTTAATGTCATGTATCCTTTACTCCATTTTTTCAAAGAGAAAACAGGTTAGTTTGTTACATTTAATTTAGCAAAAAGATGCACACTTAATATGTACTCTACCAGAAGTAAACCTTGTTGTTATGTTGTTATTTGGTGACAATTCAGGCGGTGTGCGAACTGGCAATGCAAAGCATGATGGGCGAAAATAAAAATCTGTTCATTTGCATGTTGACTATGGTTGAGTGAACATCAATTTCAAAAGGTTTAATGAATATTCAATGTGGGAATTAATGGTCTGTTGCCTTTTGTCCAAAAATACAGCAAAGAATGTAACTTGTGGATATTTTTGGGTCAAACTGCAGCAATAGACACTTCTTGTTGGATACACAAGGTGGTATGTGTATCTATTGACAGAACTGGAAGTCGCGAAAGGTAAGCAATTTCTTGGGAAATTTCTGAACGAAGGACATTGGAGAACGCCCATTCCACCAATGTTCTGTCTTCCAGTGTAGAATTAAGTTGGCTGACTTGAGATTGTGACCCCATCACACTATAAAAGCTCTCTACAATCACTTCACAGCCACCCATTGCATTGCAACGTCGAAAGCTGCCATTGCCGTTGTACCTGCAGTGTTATATAAAACGCTATTACAATACAAATGTTTGATCACTGATTCTTCTTTGATACAAGCTTCGAACGTCGCATGGTTTGCGAATTCAAATCTAAAGAGTTTGCACGTTTTCATCTTATGACTGTAACAATGTGTATAAAGGGCTTTCTGGTTTAGCCTTAAAATATGTGCAGACAATCCATTGATGTGCCCTGCAACAGAACTTGCACCATCATAACCACTACAATCTTCAATAGATAAAGTTAAGTAATTTAAAGCTTCTAATACAAGTTTAGCAAGTTGGGCACCACTTAATCCCCATTTGCAGTGTAGAAACACAATATATTCTTCTCTGATATTCATATCAGTATCAACAAAACGTAAAACAAGGGGCATTTGCTCTCTATGGGAAGAATCTGCAGCCTCGTCAGCAATAATAGTAATAGTTTATATTGTCCTTTATATTGTTTATGGTCTTTTCACTGATCACCTCACCACAACAATTAACTATCTTATTCTGACTTGTCTTTGAAATGTAACTTCTGTTCTTACCACACGTTTTCAAATGGTCTTTTAAAATTTTATCCCCTGCTCTAACTCTTAAAATTAAGTGATGCAACAAAATTACCAACACCCCCAGTGGAATAGCTGCCCACTTCCAGGTGATATTTAGCATCATCACGATGCCCACACAACGGCAAACCAAGGCGACCACAAAAAAGAACTGTATCGATAATTGGAGCTAGTTTGCTCCTATTTTCCTCAACCTCTTTTTTAAGGTTAGTATCTAAAATTACTTCAATGGGTTGTACAGTCCCTGACATTTGAGCAAGCAAAGATGTTAAAATTGGAAATGTAAAAGCATGCAATCCCATTCCCCCCTGTCCAATGCCCAGCATGGCATTTGAAAGTAAAGGTAGCATTGTTCCAATAGGTAAAAGAGTAATGTTTGTCTGGCTTACAGACGTTTGATAAAATTACAAATTTCAGAGGTATCCATACCTTTAACCTTCTCCCTATACAATGCAACATCATGTTGCTGGAAGAGAAGTAGTACTTTGTTGTGTTTTAGTTGACAAATGTTGAGAAGTGGAGCTAGGTGTTGCAAACTCATCTAATTTATGAGCATCAAGTTGTGTGGTAGAAGAAAAAGTCTCATTAGGGGCCTTCTGGCATGCAGGATTGACCAAGTTATCCTTGGTTGAATCTGTATCTAAACACTCCATAGCGACAGACAAGGGTAAAAGATTGTTAATAGAATTCCAAAAATATTCACTATGTTCGTTCACAGCAGACAAAAAGCAAGGGTGTTCAGAATAAACATTTGCATTCATAAAAAGCTCAACTGAGGTTAACATCCTCAAAGTTTGCACTAAACTGTTATCACCTACCGGTACCAGAGACTCAGAACTATACAAACAATTGCTAGAAGCTTCAGACCTAAGTGAATTGAAGAAACAAAAAATAATGTATAAATTAATAAGTTAAATATTAAAGTATATTACTATAAATATAAACTGTTCACATAAAATTCTAGCAGATATAATTCATGTTTTGCTGACAGGAAGGTAAAAATATGTTTATATGAATTCAAGATATCGTATTACAAAACATCATAAACACCAGACCATGCGGCATGTGCTGTAATTCTCTTATTACGAATATTATCGGTTCAGGCGAACAAAATATACATTAATAAAACCTTACCCGATACAAACAATACTAATATGAACGATTATTAGGAATATAAAAGCGACCCATGGCTTGTGCCTTTTGGGACGATATAATGATATAAATAACCTTTGAACGGTCTTGACCAATCGCACAGAAAAATGCAAATTTATACAAGCAGCCAAGGCCCCCAAGCAGCTTTTACTAGCATGATAAAACGCTTACTAAGAACCAATATATACATATAATCACCTTACCTTTTTGCTGTACACTTCTGTTGTTGACGAGCAAATGCTGGTATAAAAATCTCTGCAGCAAAACTTCTAGCCAGACTGGATTTGGTGTCATAGATAGCATCTAAGGCCTGTTTCAAAAGTCGTGCTTATCATGTGCCGAACCTAATTCTAAGTGTTTAGCACATGATAAGCACAACATTTGAATCAATTAAGTTTGACAATTTTTATTAAGTTCGACACCAATGTTAATTTCGACAAAGTCCGTCGTGCCTAATGCATTTAGTTCGACAAGACACAACATTGATTCAAATGGCGACCTTTTCATGTGCTGAATCCAATGCTACGAAAAGTTCCATTATACACCCTTCTATCCCATGCAATCATATGCTATTTTGGCACCAACTGCGCTTCGAGCAAATAAAACATGGACGCCTGAACGAGAGGTATGAAATGTAGGTTTTATGAGAAAATTACTAAATACAAACGTCTGCATTGTCAGTTACCTGCATGTAACCGATGTACAATCAGTTGGATATTGCAATGACTGTCAATTGACATATTCACCAACCACAGTTAATTCCGATGTTTTTGAGTCCCTTGATGAAGAGTGTGAACGTTTAATGCCATCGCCGTCACCAGAAACAAACAGGTCTGTTTTTAGGTCTGTTTTTATATCTGTTTTTCTTTTTTTTCTTTTTGTGCGAAAAACATTAAGCAATCATAGCAATCAACCAATGAACAAATAATAAACTAAAGAGAAAATAGCTAGATTTGAGTACAATTTTTAAGTTTTTGTACGTTTTGACATATTTTTTACATGGCTTGTGTGCATGGCATTCATGTGTATACCGTAAACCTCTGAATACATTAAAGCCCCCTCCCCAATATAAGCCCCCACAAGCAACCCTTCCCCCCCCCCCATGTATAAGGCACCATGTAATCTATATACTGTATTTTTATATTTCTTTTCGTTCATTGTATGGTTTACAGGTACAATAAATGTTATATTAGACATCCGTATATTTAATATATTATACATCCGTATATAAGCCCCCCACGATGTGTAAGCCAATCCAAAAATGCTTACAAAACAACTATAAGCTCATGGCTTATATTTGGAAGTTTACGGTATTCAATTACATGATCGAATTTCATTACTACCTTGTGCAATTCCCCAAATCGCTGAGACCATAGTCGAGGGCCAAATCTCCCTACTATATGGAGGACAAAATGCGCCAAGTTAAAAATACTGAGGATATTTATCTGCAAAAGGGGAGTTAACTTCCTATTTCCTCTGTGGGGGTGGTATGCATGTTTCTGGAATGACTCAATCAAAGCTTGATTCCTGTAAGGACTGTAATATGTATTCCATAATTGATTTTCCAGTGAATCAAATAATGATTGGAACCTTTATCTCAACTAAAGTGTGGGAAGAAAAAAGCTGGCAGGAAAGCTATGTCATCAGAAAATGCGCTTGATGATTTTGTAGACATTATCACAGGTAGTGAATACTACAAGAAAAAATTGATATTTACCAATACAAAGAACCAGAAAAATGGCATTTATGAAAAAATCTTAACTGAACTAAGAACAATAAATTGATGAAGATGTGATGAAAGAAATGAAACAATAAATTTCACAATCGTACAAATGCGTAACAAGTTTAAGAAGTGTATTAGTGAATGCAAGCATACATCAATGACAATTAAAACTGCCACCGGGATAAAACGGTTCCAGGAAGGTAAAGGTTATGGCGCCTGGTTTAACCCATTAAGTGCCAGCGCTCTCCCCTTGACGAGTAAAATTGTCTGGCATTAGACAGAATAAAATACTAAAATAGGGTGCATCAGGGTGCATCGCCACCCAATGGGTTAAATACACACATGGGCAGATGGGCTAGTTAACCCATTAAGCGCCAGTGCTCTCCTCTTGACGAGTAAAATCATCTGGCGTTAGACAGAGGAAAATACTAAAGTAGGGTGCATTGCCACTCAATGGGTTAAGCAGCTTTTTCCACTCGTCCAGTCTAGAGATTCATGTCAGCCAGAGATGGCTGTGGAGCCCTCCTGCACTAGCAGTACTAGTACCTGTAGTACAAGTAGCAATTTGTTGATTGATTGTGAGGAAGATGACCGACCAGATTCAGAAAATGGAGAAAAAACATTTGTTCCATTGAAAAAAAAAAACTATCTGCCAAATGTCATGTTGGTGAAGCTGTTGAACTTCTCAAGACCATGGTTCAGAATAATACTTCAAAAGAACTAATGCGTGTTATGCAGGATGAAGCTGAAAAATCAAGAAAGCATGAACTAGAGATGACAAAGTTGTTGCTTAATGCCACAGCTCCTCCTAACCAACATGCAGAAAGAGCAAATCAAATGCATTCATGGCCACAATAATACCATCTGAATGCTCTTAATTTCCAACACCATAAGCCATCATTTCAAGCTCATCCTATAGCAGTTTTATGTGATACACAACCACCTCAATAGTTTGCTTTTTACATTTAGGCCATTAATTCAATATGGCAGAAACGTCAAAAAAAACCTACACTTGGATCATGGCTTACTATTCTGATAATTATACCCGATGACTCATCGCATTAAATTACTGTTCAATTTGGCTGGCTTTGTTCAGTTGTTGACGTTTCTGATATTGAATTAGAGACTATGCCTAAATGTCAAAAACAACTACCTCTATCAACGTTTTTGCACAAGGTGGTCGCATATCATGTAAAACTGGTGTAATAAGTTGGGTTGTTGTTTTCAAGTTGGTTAGTTGGGTTTTTATAAGTTTTGTTAATTGTTTGACAACTCCCCTCCTGTCCACAAAGTAAATGAAAAAGTGAACTGAAGTGAATATAAATATCTCACAGACAGGTATATAATATATCGAGTGGGTAGTGGACCTTGCCCTTGGAGATTAATTGTTCCTGGTAACATCTGCAACTAATCAATTACACAAGTACATTATTTTGCTATTAATTAAAAGACATAGTTGAAAGAAACTAATATGTCCTTGTTCAGTCACTTGTTGGAACTATGATAATGGAGTACAAAATATACCTGCAATATGCTTTTGATATCAGCATTTGAAATGATGTCTGACATTTAATGTGTTTGGCCAAATACTCTGGCCGAATATTTTTTTCCCCCAAAAATATGAAGAAAAAACACGTTCAACAAACGAGTTTGGAAGAAGAAATAACTTCCAGATACGCATTGTTTCAGAATTGTAAGTTTGCCTTATTATAAAGAACTTGTAAAACAATAATGTGTGGAAAACTTTTTACAGCTTTTCAAATATTGTTTACAGTCAAAATACAAGAACCTTCCAGCTTCTGTAATCTGTTGACATTTTCTGTAATTTATTCTGTATTACCGGGATACAGTAACGGCAACCTCGTTCCCAGGCTCTTTGCTCTTGGGAAGCAAAGACCCTGGCTGGGGCTGGTCACGTGGCACACGGAAATTTGATTGCCCAAGGGGGAGTACGCAAAGTATCAAATTACATGCTTCCACTTCCGCACTTTACACTTCGATTGCAAGGAGTGAGAGTGTTCTGTATAATCAACTTTGAGAATCATATGAAATTTAAATACTTGCTAAATTTGTTCCTGTTTGCTTTTAAATTATAAAAAAAACATGCTAAACATATTTTTATAGCAACAGACAAGTCAGAAAGTCAAGCAATAAAAACGTATGATGGTATGCTTTGATATTGTTCTAATGTTCTCGAGGCCTCTGGCACATTCTCATTTCACACGTTTCTGTTTTGCCTCTGGTTCACTTCACATATTTATAATATTCTTATAATATGCCGTTAGCGTTATTTGGAAACGGTATATTTATCTTTGAATTGATTTACTTGTTAATTTCAACACAATACTGTGGTAGGTCATAGCTCCTTTTGAGCTTTGAGGTCTTCTCGCGCACACGCTTTATATAAATAGATACAAGCTTTATATAAATAGATACAAGCCAAATGGACATTGAATCTCTGTTGATTGATTCAAAAATTGTTTTATATAGACATCGCATATTTTTTTAATAGGTTAAATTATTGTATAATTCATCGTTTGTATTAAACACTAGATAGTAAGGAGTGTATAAGGTACAAAAATTGTTAGGGAATCTACAGTATAGAATTTAGATAACTAATATGCTTTTCCTATTTTGTCTACATGCGAGTATAATAATGGCAAAATAGTGCACAGTATGTCCTATAATATATAATTCAATATTCATTTAATTACCCTCGTCTTTTATACCTTGCCCATTGGCATTGAATGCAAAAGAATAACAGCAGATATAATAGAAAAATACTTTCCTATATAAAACCTTATAACAGTATAAAGTGCCTCTACACATTGTCAGGGTCATATTATACATAATTCATATAAGTCCCACATAGACACAGCATTACTCGATAAGTTTTTATAAGCATTTTAA